AAATTTCACTGTTTTACTAGTAGTAGCATCTCCAGAAAAATTGACAAGGTAATCTGACAGAGGGGAAGGCTAGCACATGCAGCAGGTTTGTGAATGGTGCACACAATAAATAAGACAGCATTCAAATGGAGAATATTTGATATTGCTGTTATTTAGAGAAATATGATATTGTCCATATCAGCCAATCTGCTGCTTTTCTTAGACAGTCACAGCAAAAGAGTACCCAATGTAGTATAACCCTTCTTAACACCCCCCAACCCAATCAAAAAAACTCAAGAAAATTGCTACAGTGTGTTAAAGTTTTAATTGCAATTAAACCAAATTATGTTGCTATAGTTGTATAGTATAGTATCTTATCATATTTATATATATCAGTAATGCATTGCACTGCATCAGCAGGCTTTTAAATAATCTTGATGAAACATATGGGTTTGATATCTTAGAGATATATGGGGTTAGGGACTGCTGAAGCAGTGAGATAGATACACAAAACTTTTGCTAATAAGATTACCTTTCATTGAAGGAATAGACACATTATACAGCATGTCAAATAATGTTTGATAAGCTTGTCTTCAGTGGCCTGTATTTGATAATCTGCAAGAGCAGATGATGACTGTAGTGCTTAGTAGAGCACATCAGTCATTACTAGTAAATTTGGTACACTCACAGCAACAGAAACTAATATATGTCAATTCTTAGTAGCGTTTTAGTTTAATTTGATCTTCTACATTTCAATTGCTTTGATCAATGGAAGAGAGAAGCCTCTCTTTTATTCTACATTATGCTTTGGTTTTTTCCCTTCAGCAGCAGTATCACCTTGTCATAGTTCAAAACTGGGGTGAGTAGATATTGTAGATCCAACAATGACTTGCAACACATCTCCTAAACGCGTGAAAACTACAACAGACATTATTATTTTTGCATTCCACAGAATCCCAGAATGATATGGGGTTGGAAGGGACCTCTGGAGATCATCTAGTCTAACCCCCCTGCCAGAGCAGCTCCACCCAGAGCAGGTTGCACGGGAACATGTCCAGGAGGGGTTTGAATGTCTCCAGAGAAGGAGACTCCGCCACCGCTGTGGGCAGCCCATTTAGCCCATTCACCCATTTGAGGGTGGCAGCTCTGCCACCCTCAAAGTAAAGAAGCTCCTCCTCATGTTTAGGTAGAACTTCTTATGTTCAAGTTTGTGCCTGTTACCTCTTGTCCTGTCCCTGAGCACACTGAAAAAAGACCGGCTTCATCCTCTTGACACCCTCCCTTTAAGTATTTATAGGTGTTGTTCAGATCCCCCCTCAGCCTTCTCTTCTCCAGACTAAAAGGCCCAAGTCCCTCAGCCTTTCCTTGTAAGAGAGATGCTCCAAGCCTCTAATTATATAATCATTTAACATTCCATGTTTCCTATAGAAATAACCCTGGTAGATAGCCTGTTAAAACCTTGTGACTGCATTACACACAACAGTTCCAGAATTAATCTACTATAGGCTTGACAAGCAATTCAAGTAGGAGAGAAAACAAACCTACAGGAACAGGTTCTGAAGAATAGAATAATTTTAAAAATAATAATATAACATCAGAATTGCTCAGGTTTATTCACAGAACCTCTTTTATGGCTTCAGAATGCAAAATTATTAATAAAAAATCCTAAAACCAAACCTTTAGTAAATGCTCATAATTTACTAAAACATGACCTGTAACATTACCTGTATGAGAAGATTCTTTTTCAATATCATTTTCCCCTCCAACAGTAAATTCATGCTGTTCAGTACTCCCAGTGGAATTTGCAGGATTATGTTCTTGACTGATCCATCCATAATGAACACTGTGTAATAGTGGATGTGGGGTTGGTCCTTGACGATTTTCATTTTCACTTGTAACTAGTGCTAATAAGATGATGATCGAATCAATAAAGATCAAAATACCCAACACCAGTCATATTCTCATCTGCGTGGGTTACACAACAAGGGTGCTTGGCTTTTGTGTTTTGGCTTTCTGTTTTCATTGTAACATTTGATGTGAAATGAAAGATGACAGAAAGCAAAAGTCCTTATGGAAACCCTGTCACACAAAAGCATCACCAGGATTGGAAGAAGATTTAAGGGCACCAGAAATTATCCCAATGACCAATGGCAGAGGAAAGCTGTAAGAGAAGTAGTGGAAGAACATATAGAAACAAAAGCCTGTATCTCTAGTTCATGTTTACCAATACTAACTTAACTGTTGAGTCTGTGTATTCTGGCTTTTTAAAAGTGACAACATGATGAACTTTCTGAGTTAATATCTCAATTATGCAATTGCAAGGCTGGATGCAAGGAAATGTCATTTCTTCTGGGTCTGGATGAATGAAATAAGTCAGTTCATATCTTCAAAGTCGAAAAGCATGATTGTTTTGAACTCAGTAATAATTAAATCTCTTACTGATAAAATAAATTAATTGCTCACTCTTTAATTAGCTGTTGTTTACATAGCAGAAGATGCAGTCAGAAATCACCTTATGTACCACCACCATAAGAGATTTTCTAATGAACATTAAAAGGCTTAGAAAAGACACACCAAGAAAAAAAAAAAAAGAATACCTGTAACACTAAGATAAGCATTAGAACTTGGTTTGAAATATATTTGCCTTACGTGTCAAATGTTTCCGTGCATGATATATTAAAGATAAAGCAAAGGTTCTTAATCAGAGCATGCAAAGAATGAGCTGGACCTTAGGGACTATTTCCCAAAAAGAGAAAAACTGGAGGAATATTTGTATTCACATTCAGGTAATGAAATGTTCATTAAAAGGGTACTCATGTGAATGCAATTCATTATTTTTGTAATTAAACCCAATTCATATAGATTAACTTGTAAAAAAAAAAAAAGTTAAAATTAACTAATTTATGAATACAACTGATCTAACAATACTTCGGAACTAAAGGAAAGGTATTGCAAAAATTGTTTCTGAATGATTATAGCACCTGTTCTGATGCCAATTGTATAAACATTTACTGTTCAATACAATCTTGGAATGAGACTGCTATTGGAGGCAAGTCGTATAAATCCAAAGAATTACTACAGGATGTAGAAAATGCTTGTCTCTACAGAGCTATAAGAAGGTTTTCCACAAGTCCCAATGAAATGTACTTCTTTTTGGTACAATCTAATGTTATACAATTGCAAGGCTGGCTCCCAATCTAGCTGTAAACAGCTGTACCTCCAGCTATTTGGTTTTGAACCTCTCCTTAACAGGATAAAGCTATGCATTATAGCTGAAACATCCTAAAAACAAAGCTTATATCCAGCTATGCTTTTAAAAAAAATTAAACTGGAAACTATTTTGGTACACGGCAAAAACAGCTGGAGAATGGACTCTCTAAGCCTTTGCCTACAGAGGTTTTTAGTCTTGAATAACATAAGCATATGTTCAGTATTTCAGTTGGCTAATGGCACTAACACTGGTAGCAAAATGTTCACATTCATCTGGAGGTAGTGTATTACCCTTTGTAGCACAGTTCCATATATTTGAATCACTGAGTCCCTTTTTCGTCTGTCTTCAGTTTTTACAATAGAAATTTTGAAGCGGAAAGAAAAGGAATATTTTTTCCTCACCAAGGTGGGCCACCAAACATTACAATCTGCTCAGTTTTTTACACTACTGGCAGTGCAAGTTTTAAAATCCCAGAGATGTGAGGAAACGTGGCAAGCAATGAAGTTGAAATGCAAAAGATAGACTTGAAATGACAGATGAATGTTACAGATGCCACCTCTGAGGGCTCTTACTCCAAAGGTATTATACTGAAATGAAGATAATGGTATGAGAATTGCAACCAGTTGCACCGTAACAGTGTTATACTTCACTAAATTATGTCACAAATCTGAATATAATCTGAAATGCTTAATTGATTTACCCCTGCCAGCAGAGCTAGGATACTGCTCCTCTTCATCTGTATAGGCGGGGTTCCAATGATTTTGTGTGGAGACTTCCAGAAGTATTTCGTGTTGCGAATCCGTAGCTGTTAGGACAATGGAGGATTCAACGCTGACCATGCTTTACATCTACCACTATTACTTTACTGTTAGTGAGTGCCATAAAGGTGATGGAAAATGGAAATTCATGCATCATAGCTTAACTGTAGTCTCTCCATTCTTCTTATCAAATCTCTTTACATCAAACCAGTTTTCTTTTCTTTTCATTGGACAGATGCCAAGTTTCCCAAGAAGAATGGGGAAAACAAGGAATGGAAAAATAATGTATAGCAGAAGTAGTGCAAAACAATTGCAGCAGTTATAGACATTTAAACTCAAGTTTCAAGAATAATGCTGGATCTAAAGCATATGATAGATGTCCAAATACATGTAAAACATGCTTGCTAAGTACTCAAGAAGTAGTCATATTCATGTTAAAATATCCACCACCGAGCTTAAAAGCAAAAAACCAAAACCACCATTGACAGCCACCACGAAGCCAATATTAGTCAAGAAAGTTACAATACAATTGAACAAATAAAATAAAACTTCCACAGGAATCTACGATCAGAAACTGTATATGTTTTCACCCGTGGAGCATGCAGACACCACTAGCCGTAGGAGGTTTTTGGAATGCAACACACCACATGGAATAAGTCACCAATGCAGAGACTCCTTCTATCAATATGTCCCTCATATGACTTCTCCAATTATAAGAGAGGCATTTCTGAAGGAATATTTGATGAGAAGATAATCCAATTTCCACACAATATCAGTGCGGCAAAGGAGGAGAAACATCGGGTAGGAGAGGAAAAAGAAGATGGAAACCATCCAAAGAGAAAGGAAGTTCCTTACTAGTACTTGGAGCATACTCATCCTTGGCCACACTCCTGTCCCAGTCTGGAAACACTGTTGGGTAAATCGTTTCCTCCGAAGAGTCTTCATCATCTGAACCATTGCCACTTGAGGTCACATCTGCTGTGATGATGTTAAATCTGCCATTAAGCCCTAACCCACAAGGTATTCTGCTGACAGCAGTTATGCTCTCCTGTCTTCCCTACGTGCAGCCTTACAGTCACAGAGGGGAGTGTACAGCATCATGCTGCCCACAGTCTATATCTCCTCCTGGTTCTTCCACCTGCAAGCCATTTGTCACTCTGCCATGGCCCTGCTGAAGCTGCCCCAACGTGGCTCCTGGCTACACTTCAGTGCCCTATACATGCTTGTAGCACTAACTATACTCCGGCCTCTTCTAGCAGGGTGAGCAGAATGTACTGACTTGAAAAAATTTTCTTCCTTTCTCCCACAGATCTTTCTCATTGGAATAGTCTTCTTCTAAATTTCCTCCAAACAGGAAAGAAGAAAAACCCAAGTACATCCTTTACAAAATGACTCACATACTCGTCCCTTTCAGACAAGCAGAGTTCGTCCGCAGTACACGGACAATGGGGACAACTGCTCTATCGCAGCTAAACGTACAGCCCCTGAAAGATAGCCCCCTATTTTTCTTTTCCCTCTTCAAACACCTGGTAACAAAAAGCAGTGACATATACCACACATTCAACCCCCCCACATGCTTAATGCTTCTGAAGCTTGCTGCCCTGGTGCTATGGTTATTCAGCCCCTAATCAAAGCCCCCTCTTAGCACGACATTCTTTACCCTTGGTTGCTTGCACAGGTTCTTGCGTCTTCTCTCCAGGATTTGACCACCACCAGTGGTTTGAGAATGGATTCCACCAAGCTTGGGTGGTGGCCTTCTCCAGGTTGTCATGATGAGGCCTTGGAGCTGTTAGGACATGGTTCATTCAACCAAGATCTTGTTACTGTTTCTTCAGAAATATTTTTCTCCAGCAAAGTCAAGTTCACCAGCACCAGCACCCTGAGCATGCTCATGCCACCGAGATGGATGTGAGTGCAAGGTAAATGTATAAACTGTGGCATCATCGCATTCCTCAAACACTTAGCCAGATGCAAGCACGAGTGTCAGTCACAAGAAAGAGCATGGTCCCTTGAAAGGAGCTGTCAAGAAGCCCTGTGAGTCTTTGCTATCCCTTTACATTCAACGAGGTTAATGAGTTTCACAGGTTTTGCCAGCAGGAGAGATTAGATAGCCTTAGATAGACTCCAGAATGAGGAATGTTCACCAAGAAGACATAAAACCACGTACAAAAAGTGAAAGAAATATCCATGACAGGCAAAATGACACCCAGAGATAAGCACACACATTAGTTCAGCCTTCTTTACCACTGAGAACACCATGAAGACAATGCTGCCAAAGACCTGGGCTCAGAACTACCGCCACTCCATTCAAATGACACATACACTCCCCTTGGCCTGATGCTGTCAGCAGAATCCACACCAGAAACACTTTCCAGGTAGGCATTAGCGTAGCATGGAGAGAGAGGTGCAGCTTTACTCCTATCACATTACTGTTTTCTCAGAACATAGCATTTCAAATAGCAAAGTTCCACAGGTTTGTGACAGGCTTTTGTGACAGGAGATTTTTGTTTAGAAAAATTACAGGAATTACAGCCTTTTTGTCCACTGTGCTAGGCAAGCCAAATAGGTATTGGCTTGCAAACAGAAATAATTGTGAGACTTGTAGAGAGGCTGCAAACTCCCTCTAAAGAATTATTCCTTGAAACACCACATGTCAGGAGGGAAGCCCACAAATCAGGTATGAATGGAGACAAGACATCAATTCCAGAATCAACAGAAGATGGTGCTTCTAAGTATATGGGACTCACAAAATCTAAATGGGGTTTCCTGTGGCATGTGAGATGTGTTTGAAACTAGAGTTGATAAGGAGGGCATCCAATTTCCACACAATATCAGTGCGGCAAAGGAGGAGAAACATCGGGTAGGAGAGGAAAAAGAAGATGGAAACCATCCAAAGAGAAAGGAAGTTCCTTACTAGTACTTGGAGCATACTCATCCTTGGCCACACTCCTGTCCCAGTCTGGAAACACTGTTGGGTAAATCGTTTCCTCCGAAGAGTCTTCATCATCTGAACCATTGCCACTTGAGGTCACATCTGCTGTGATGATGTTAAATCTGCCATTAAGCCCTAACCCACAAGGTATTCTGCTGACAGCAGTTATGCTCTCCTGTCTTCCCTACGTGCAGCCTTACAGTCACAGAGGGGAGTGTACAGCATCATGCTGCCCACAGTCTATATCTCCTCCTGGTTCTTCCACCTGCAAGCCATTTGTCACTCTGCCATGGCCCTGCTGAAGCTGCCCCAAGCTTGGGTGGTGGCCTTCTCCAGGATGGGAGTGCAAGGCAAATATATGAACCTGTGCCATCATTGCATTCCTCCCACAGCAAAAGTATCCAATGATTTTAGTGTAAGTGAAGTTTGAAACTTTCTACTAAAGTAAAGATTGCGTTACCAGTTCTAAAAGTCTAGTAAAGTCAATGAATTCCGCACAGCATTTTTACACGTGACGGATCAAAATATGTACTGTGTGTGAAATACACCCCAATATTTTGACAAAAAGCATTCGAGGCTAATAGAAGCTGAAATCACCATTGAAACTGAAATCCCTCAAACAAGTCAAGTGACAGTCTAACCTTTCTATCTGCCGTTATTCATCATGCAGAGTTTGTGAGAACAGCTGCACTTCAACTCACACACACATTCAACAAAAGAAAGCAAAGTCTACTTCAGAATGTTTCACTGGAAATATTTTCTATCCTGGCAATTCCTTTCAAGCAATATTTTTATCAGTATTTAGACCGTATAACTTCTATATCTTGAAGATGAAGAAATTATGTACTCTTTTTCATTAGGAAAAAAAACTCTAAACAATTAATTCAGAAAAATACCTTGAAGACTTACATCAAAGACAATAGTTTAGATCAGTTTTTGTGCAATATGTGAAAGCATTGCAGAATGCAAGAATCAATGTTCTAATGGTCAAACAGGATAAACTCATGTTTTTCAGTAGTTATGGTTTTCTTATTTGTTAATTGCAAATTGTACAAAGTATATGGGATTAAACTCAGAACTGTACTTTTTCAAGGTGTAGCTATTTTGGCAGCTAAACCTAACAGATTTTGCCTTTCTGAAAAGCTGTCCTTGACTGAATAAATATTGTCTCTTCTCACAGGCATGAATTGCTCCTTAAACTTACTACTACTAGTACTACTCTAATGCTGGTGTCAGAAGATGGGAAACTTGGACATTCAAAATCTGATCTCTGAGCAACAGACCATCAAAAACCCAGGTGGTCTCAAATTTGGAGCTTTGGGATGGAACTGTGAACCAAATGATAATGCCAAAGCATTGGTTTACAAGAAAATAACTGAATAACTAAATAATTGCCATCTGACTTGCTGCAATCATGGCAAAATTCACACCTCTACCTGCTTTCCACAACAAGCCTTAGGAGCTCATTTTCTGAAGTGACAAATATGTATTCATGGCTTCATTCCACATACAAAATGCCAATGAAGCTGCTTTCCTGTTAGATCAGCCAAAGTAGAGTCATCAGACATTTTTCATTGATGAGGCTTTTTTTCAGGGAATGCTCCAAACCAAATAAAAAGAAAATCCACCAGGGCGTAAAATTTACATCTATGGATGAACAAAACCAGTCACAGTTACTGCTTGAATAACTAGCTCTGGTAATTTAGGGAAGTATCTCATTGATCAGCAACAGAATTCTATGACATCTGATCCATCTGATCCTATAGGTGAATCATAACTTGTGAATAAAAAAGACAAAAGCTTGCTTCAGACAGGAAACTTCAAAGCCATAGCAAAAAAGTGTTTTGATCAAGCTAGACACCTTTTCACCAAACTTTAAGTTTACAAATTGTGTTTAGTATAGATGGAGAGCCACCAGTTTTGTTTCTCACTTTCACACACTATGGAGTTAGATAGATATATTTTTAGCCATGTGTATGAATATATATCATTAATAGTTTTCTTTACTTATTTCTTAATTTTCTACTTTTCTGTCTATAGGATTTTTCTCTGGGAAATTCAGTCGCAGCCAGGATATTCCAATGAACCCGCACTGTTGCACAATGTAAAAAGCAGACATTGGGGAATGGCTTTATCTTCTTTTTTGTTTGTTCTCCATATAACTTTCTCCTATGCTACTGCATATTTGATGATTTCTCATGGAGATGCATAGCTTATACTTAGCTCCTGAAAGGGGTGCTAAATTACTTATTTGTTTGTAATGCAGTAAGATTAAAAGAAATGGGTCTGTTTGGCTTTGAAGTGATGTTGCTATGTAATAGCAGCACCTTCATAATCTTTTTTTCCAGAGAATCGATCTATCAAATCTAAACCAATAAGCAATCATGCCAATGTTATCACTTCTGTCATATACATATATCAGTATTGACATATTTTATTACATAGCTCTATAGTTATTTTGATCTATTAAAGTCTTAAATAACTCTAACTTTTCTTCTCTAATATAGTCATGTCCATGAGAGAGATCTGTTAGCAACAGGAAGGGATATATATATATATATATATTTAGGATCAATACATTTGATAATCAAGTTGTACAAGAAAAACCCAAAGCTTTTCTGCCTAGAAACACTGCACAAGTTTTTGCAGTGGGTACAGAAACATCTGTACAAGGAAGCATTAAGACACACACACACAAAAGTAAATAAATATGAAGGAAAAATCACCACCAGATCAACCAAACTCCAGGTGAGAGTCCCCTGCCCCTTACAGGCAGTATTTCGAAGCAAAACCTTTCCCTTGAAACAAGGACCAAAAAATTCTCTACTTGCTTTCATGGTTTAGGGGAAAATGAACCTGATACTTCTTTTTTTCATCTACATATTTTTAAGGTGTTACTAACCTTCGTATCCTATGAAACAAGATGCTTGGTTGAATGATTTGTCTTTTAGTAAAGCTTTTGCTAGCTGTGTAAGACATACAATCATTCTCACTCTTATGCTGTGACTTCTATGTACAGTGAGAAAGGCACTGTCCCTCAAAGTCATGTAGACCATTTGATCATCTACCAGCAACCAACAAACAATTAATCAAATTCCTCACTGTCACAGGCTTCCATGGTGGGGAAAAAAGAGTAAGCAGGAAGAAACTTTCATTTCTTTCAGTTCAGTCTTTACAAAAGCATGCCTCTGTAGATCTCTGTAAAAACATTCTCCCTTTAGGTTTGTTTTATTTTGGGGGGCAAAGATCTTAATCAATCGAAACTTAAGAACTAGATATGTACAGTTCTACTTTAAAACATGTAAGATGGCTATGAAAGTTTTTTATTTGCTATCATTGCTGTGTACTATATATCTGATAAAAACATCACAAGCAGTTTTTCCCACTCAATGGGAACATTACAGCTACTTAAGGACAAAGCAGAGAAAATGGCTACTGTTCTTTTGAACCCTCAAAGCCTGTAGAGCCATCACAGACCCCCTTTTTTTCTCATACATATTGCCAACAACATGGACAAAATTAGTTCCGGCAGTGCACAAGTAGCTTGGCAATTGGAACTGCCATGTAAAACACTGCTTTGATGAGTGAGGTTGTGGTTTTGACGTGGATTGCGCACATTCACAACTATAAATATATTAGAATCACAGACACATTCTTCACAAATTGACAAAAATGTCCTTTTCCACATCAGAAATAAATTGACTTCAAGTGGTAATTGCTTGCACTAACTTGTGGTGCCTCATGGAATAAATAGATTGATAAAAAAAGCAGTGAGAAATACAAAACAATAATCTTTCTGAACTCATGTATAAGCACTGAAGTAAACATACAGTAAATGTTTTTGCTCCCCTTGTCTCAGAGAGTGCATTTTATTTCTGACTTAATCAGTCCAGAAAGTACTGTCTCTCAATATTTTCCCAAAAATGGAGATGATGTATACTTCCCACTTACCAGAACACCCTGCTGTAAGAATAAAGCAGTTTTAATGCAATTTCTATTTGATATAGTTATTATAATACATAAATCTTACTAGTACTCGCAGGATACTGTCCATCATCTTTTGTAGGAGAATTATCCACTGCTGTCACCAAAGGGATGTCTGGTGATACAGGAGAAGTTTCGTCATCTGTATGGTGATGGATGAATCATTACTATTTCATTAACTGAATTGCAACTCATTACTCACAACTACTTCAGTTATTCTATACTGCAAGCTTCATTCCTTTATTTGTTGTTCCAAGAGAGAAGAAAAACACAGACTAAGTTCTTCAAATAATTCAATGCCAAATAGCCTTACTTTACTAACATAGTAAGGATATAATCAATACACAGATTATTTCAAGAGTATATATTACAGTGACTATGAACATTCTGGCAATGATCTGTTCACGTGATTCAAGCTCTAATTGTACCTGTATACCATTGTATCTGTATACCAATCCCCCATCTGGACAGGGAGTCCAGAACAATGAGTGGAGTTACCTGTATTCCCTGCTTTACTGAGATATATTCTGAGTTTTAGTCCAAAAATCTAAACTCTGGGTGTAAGCAGAGTTGATAAGAGTTGTCACGGCAAGCAATTGGAACACACGGCATACACTTTGGGGAATGGCTCTGATCCTATTTCCTCAGGACCAGAAACTACCGATATCCTTCACTGGGAAGTTATTCGTTTTGATAAAAATGAAGTTTTTCGATTTGATAAAAAGCCTGTAGTCAGAGGTCATACAGTAAGCCCCAATGTACCTAGAGGATGAATTATATTTGTATCCCTTAGGTTCAATAGCAGCAAGTGCTTCAGACCTCTGATAATTTCAGCCACACAAGTAACATAAAAGATGAAATAAAATACACGCCACTTTCGCAAGAAAGCAAGATACACTTGCAAGGCACTCTAATTTGCAAATTTTCAGTGCAGAATGCCCTAGAAAAGAGTATGGCATCTGTATTTTGTAGGGCTTCATGAAAATAGAATTTGGGTTTACCACCTAAAGGAAGAAGACACTAAGAGCAATTTAGTCTGACATTTTAATCTCTCTGTGCATTTGGTAACATGCTGTAGTGGGGTGTCCTAAAAACCCCCCTGTATTTGTACAAAGAGAAATTACTTGTACTGTAAACTTGTCCTTGTTCCTATTACTTAATGCCAATTCATCCTTTTTGAGAACAGATAAGAATCTGTCATCACTTTCTCAACCTTACTAATCTCTCTGTGTTCATTGTTAGATATGTTTTTGAGCCTTTAATGAAACAAACATTTTAATAAGAACAAGAGCAAATTCTTAGAACCATCTAGTCTCAACATTCTGGGAACATCTATGTGCAGCCTGCTTTGTAGTCCCATGGAATCAATATTCCTTAGAAATCCAGAATGCTTCTGTTTTCTTTCAAAGACTTACATTCTCCTTTTATTTCTGCAGGATAGAAATTAGAGATGATGCTTCTCATTCCCTCATGATATCCTTTACCTAGCAATGTAATCTTCACTCAGTTATTACAAATAAGATATAGTGGAAACCTACTGTCCTTACCCAAATCTTCCCTAGGAATGTCTTTTTCACCCCCTCCAGAAGAATGATCTGGCAGCTGTGACACTGGAGTAGCACTTCCATAATATGATGGGCTGGATCTCCTGACGGAGGTATCCATGGGAGTTGTATCATGTGTTGATCCACTTCCTACATTTTCATCATCTGCACCTGAGGTTGAGGACTCTCCGCTATGACGCGTGCCATCTGGATTGTAACGTGAGCCATCTGCATTGTCAATGACTGTTGGAAAGAGGAAATTAAGCACCTGATAAAGAAATATTAGCAGCTCTGAGGTGCTAAAAATGTCAAATACCTATATAAAAAATGTTTGGTAGCACCTCAAGACAAACCAAGCTCCATAGGATTTAGGGGAAGACAAGTAACCAGCTGCTTTAAATGCTGTTGAACATCTCTTGACTTCTTTTTCCTATGTTTGGCTTGATTTTTAATATTAGCAATTGTTCATGTAAAAAAAGATAACCAGATCTTAAAAATGAAACAAGTGGCAGGTCTTTCTAATCAATACAGTACCTATTTCACCCTGATTACTGAGGAGAGAAGTATCGAGTCTCTCAATTGGCTCACACGTTTTGTCCCTTGTTTCTGTAAAAGAAGGAAAATAGAGAATATCAGTTTGAGAAAACTGAGAAAAAAAACCATGTTTATACTCATATTAGTTGTACATCATCACAAAACGTGATTGACCACAAAATGTGGACAACAGAAAACAAATTTCCAAATCAAACATTATTCACTGATCTACTATGTTCCCTTTTTGCTCTATGTATTTCCATGTAAAAATGTATTTCTTCTCAGCTGAAAAACAGATGAGATTTAATATAGAAGCCCTTATACCGTACCTTAAATATGAGATTACATATGTTATTGTTAATTAGTCTAATCTAAAATACATCATAAAGTGCATACATACCTGTCTCATTGTAGCAGTATGCATCATACCGACCAGTTGTGTTCGCTGAAAGTTTGTAAATGCCAGTGTGATTTGCTGCACAAAGATGATAGGGATTGATTCGTGGGATAACTATATTTCCCACTACAAAACCATACCTGTGAAGATATTAAAGACACAATACATAGATGTTGTAGCAGATGACATAAATGTTTTACATATCTCAAATGGAAGTAATTTTTTTCATCTTAAATTATTTTTTAAAAGTCTGTGCGTTTATGCATACTTTTTGTATAAAAAAGGTATTTTTTTCTCTCGTCAGTCATTATACTCCATCAGATCACATCAGATATCAGTCTCCAGCTACTCAAAACCATTTTACATGTAATTTCTAGAGCTAAACCCATTTTAATTTAGTGAACATCTTACTAGCTAGGATGATCAGTTCCACAGCTAGGCAGAGAAAGTGAGGGACTGGGAGGCAAGTGTACTTTTTATTCAGTGTACAGTTCTATCACCTGATACTAAAGACACGAAACCCCCCTTTAACTTTTCATGTCTTAAGTTCAATCTCTTTTCTGCATAGGCATGTTTAGGATGACTTGTGATAATCTAGTCTGAGGTGTATAGAGACCACAGGACAGTCCCAGCTTGATTACTCTTTGAACAGAGGGCATCCTTGGAGGAAATATTTGATGAAATTTTGGTGTGAAAAGAATCTACTACAACCCTTGTCATTTGTTTCAACCTATAATTATTATCCTTACATATTTTGTTGTATTAGCACTCACTTATTTTTTTTAATCCAAAATTTTCTATGACTAACTTCCAGTCTCTTGGTCTAGTTGTTTGGTTTTTTTTTTCTAAACTGAAGAGTTTGTATTATGCATATTTGCTGCCCTATACATCATTAATTGCAGAGGATAATTAAGTCACTTGACAGCATGGTTTGGGGTTTTTAAATAATTTTTATAGTTGTCTTCTGAAACTTCTCCATCCACAGATTATAAGAATTCAGTAATACTGCAGCACTTTTTAAACTGGGATGTCAGGAGTTCATCCCCCACAGTACCACTTGCTGCTTTTTACTGCTTCTTGAGAAGACGCAGTTCCCTGTACTGTATTTACCAGTCTTTGACCATTTGTCAAGTCATGAAAAATCGTAAATACTTTTCATGTACTTATCTTACCAATTAGCCAGTGATACAGTCTGATCTGAACATCTTCCTGATTAGTTTATTACACTATCAATCTTTTGCTATCTTTAGATTTTATCTGTAAGACATTATGATTTTTTTAAGAAAATTGGTAAAAAGTATATGCATTCAAGGACTTAATTATTACTGGACCAGAGCAAACATACACATGCACAAAGATGTTTCGTTCATCACAGAATATGACTCACTTGAGGACTGATACAGCCATCTAATTAACTTCTACATGAAGTCAAATGTAATTATTACATTATAGCATGGGTGGATAGACTTATCATGATACAATACTTTTTCAGGAATTTCTTTACCTGCAAGTTTCAAATCCAAGTTCATGAGCTCTCTTCAACTGCTCTAGTGTTGCCAAGGTACTGTTGAGAGCTCTGCAGAGTTCAACCGCTTCAGATCGCGTGAGACTGTAGCGACCATTTTTCTCAACATGAAAAACTCCTCCGTATCTGCAACTTACATTGAATTCTGTTATTGAAAGAAAAGGGAAAAAAAAGGGATTAAAAATTGTTGGACTTAATGCTTCACTGAAGACCTGGAAATGATTTATTTTAAAGTATAGTGCTTTCAATAGAAACCAGCAAAAGTAGCAGCTACCATTTCATTCCGAGAGCTAGCACTTTCAATCAACTTCATTCCTTTGGGCTGAGACACCAGCCTTTCCAAAAATAGCAATACAACACGCTTTTGTGAGGTATCCAGCACTTTTAACATGCCATTAGCAATAACATGCAGAAGTTGTAAATACATTGTGACAGTCTTGGAAGGCACATTACTGCAAAACTAACTGAATATTCAAATGTACTTGAAAACAAAATATTTAATGCATAAAAGAATTTTTGAAAGAGGAAATGGTGTATAATCAGAGCCTACATGATTATAAGGTTCCTTAACTATCTCATTGTGATCCCTTTACAGTGAATCCTTTTAAATTAATATATACATCAATCTCCAGTTTCAGAACTAGTTTAAGAAATATGTTCCTCTTATTAGCCAAACAAAAGCAGAACGCTTGTGTTGGTTTGATGCTGCATGATCTACCTGCGACAAAAGCTAAGTAAGTCGCACAGATATTCTGAACTAGAAAAACATTATGATAATCTTTAAGCTCTTCTTATTCAACCTGCTGAGGCAGATAGAGAAGTGTGCAATTCACACTGTAAGTGTTCATATAAATGAACTTCATACTGCCTGTTCACTTGACAGCATTTCCCTCCATTTTGAAAGGCTTCCTCTTGCTGAGCTCTCACTGACACACAAACATCCTACGGCCAATCCGTGCCAGAGTTTCAGGATGTACTGCAGTAAGCTTGCTCAATTTTAAAGGATGACTCAGATGGATTTTAATTTAACATATTATAAAGGTTTGCACATGGAAGTAACTTTCAATGGCAAGCAGTATGAGGATAAAAATAATAAGCAAAATAAAAAAAATTAGGTGTCACAGTTATGTTGTGCAATTTTTTTTCTGGCCTTCAGCCTGGGAACCCTGAAGCAGCAGCACATGCAAAGCCTCCAGGAGGGGAGTGACTCATACGATTCACTACAGACACTGAATGAAAGGCACAAGGGCTGGAGGCATTGAGGAGATCATACTCCCTTCATCTTTATGTTGGAAAGATACTGTGGACAGAGTGCAACAGATACAATGCAAAAAAAACCCCTTTTTTTTTTAAAAAAAAAAAAATATATCTAAGAAAGAGGTAAGAATAAGAACAGTAAGAATTATCAGGTGTGTGGAGAAAACAGGGAAAGATCAGAATGCTTCAAAGCAATGCCGAGTAACTTTGCTCCTGCCCCACCTTTCCCTCAAGAGAAAAAAGTGGTTACAACTCCAGACTAGCATGATAACTGCAAAGCAGGCTTAATTGGAGTTGCCTATTATTGCCAGTGAAGAGAGAAGCGTGACTCATTTTTATCTTAATTTTAATGGGAGTTCCACGTGCAAGAAAGGGAAAAACAGACCAGCCTTGTCCAAATATAAAAAGGGGGTGTCTCTACCATCTATTTGAAATTAAAGATGCCATATATAGTATTTTCCTAAAAGACCCAAAATAAAATTAATGCACTGCCTTGCATTAATTGCATTGACACATTCTATGTGAATAACAAGCAACTTTCCTAATGTCATCTTAGCTTGACGTTCTATTTTCTTCTATAGCACAGATGTGAAAGCAAATGATAGTAATCAAGGCGTGCACTCTTCTTCAATTACTTTTGTTCATTCGTAAACTGAGGTTATTCTATCTGCAGTGTATCTATTCAATGTAAACTGCAAAGAATGTTCCTTTCCACAGGTAACAGGAAACAATCAAGGAGATAAAATATGAGATTAGATCCAGACTGTATGGTATGTGAGAAGACAACCATTATTTGCAGCATAGGTAGGAGTTCAACAGTATGGTTTCATAAAATATGAGATTAGATCCAGACTGTATGGTATGTGAGAAGACAACCATTATTTGCAGCATAGGTAGGAGTTCAACAGTATGGTTGACTGCTTGTCCAAAGGAGCTCAAAAGCTATGCATCCAGTATTAAATAGTTTTACTATAGGCAACAGAATTAATCATTATGGTTACTTGGATTGCCTTTCCACTAAAAGAATGTAAAAAATACCTCTTCTCCTACCTGTCCCCCCAATTATTTAGGCTGACAAAAATATTTACTGTAGGCAAAATTGATATACATTGCATAGCTGTTTAACAATTAGATGCTTACAGTTCCTAATTATTATCACAGGTTATAAAAAAAATACCAAGATAACATAATTTTTAGTTTTGTAAAATTTATGCAACACTAACATATTTTCTCAAAATACATTTATTTTGACACAGCTGTTTTCTTCCAGGGAAAAACAGTTCTATTAAAATTTCTCTGATGACAGCCATGTCTTGAGAGGTTTTGAAGGCAAGAATGAGGAACCTGTGCGGAAGAGGACACTAATAAATGCATTTTTCTTTCCTGGTGGACTTGATGTCCTGCAACAGGGCTAGAGGGCTGAGTTTCACAGTCTGAGGAGAAGCTAGTGGATGATAGTCTCAGCAAGTTCCTATACATGATTATGAAATAACTGCAGTGCCTCCATGAGTCCCAGTTGCATACACGCACAGCATTGGTCGTCGGGACAGCTGATGGACTAGTGACCTTCTGTGGCAACGTCCCTCGTTAAATAGTTCTGTGTACTCAAAAACAAACGACACATGTGCCTGTAAGTCACAAACACAGCCAACAGACATTCAGGTTGCAGATCCCAATAAATGTTTTCTTACCACAACACAACGACTAGTTACCCTGCATGCGAGGGGGTGGCCCGTGACTACTGCTCTCACAGCTGCCACACCAGTGACTTTGACTCCAAATGTTCTATATTTATTAATGCTTACAAGTATCTCAAGGGTGGGTTGAAGGAGGAGGGAGCCAGACTCTTTTTGGTGGTTCCGAGTGAGAGGACGAGGGGCAACGGGCACAAGCTGGACCATGGGAAGTTCCACTCCAATCTGAGGAAGAACTTCTTCACAATAAGGGTGACGGAGCCCTGGAACAGGCTGCCCAGGGAGGTTGTGGAGTCCCCTTCTTTGGAGATTTTCAAGACCCCCCTGGATGCTCCTGAGTAACATGCTCTAGCTCTAGGCAATCCTGCTTTAGCAGGGGAGTTGAACTAGATGATCTCTATGGTCCCTTCCAACTCTAAAAATTCAGTGAAATTCAGTGAAATATTCAAAGCCTGACATTATTTTGGAAGTTGTCCAGTGCATAGCTGTATTAAACAGAAACAATCAGGACAGGAGAAAGACTTCTCTTTAGTTTTCCCCTCTTGATTCTCTCTTCCCAGTAGAACAAGACAGGCCAAAATTTGCTAATAATTAAACATAACTCCGTGAAGCCCAAGACTTAATATTAAATTTGGGGATTAGAGCACAAAGATGTATTCAATTACTTAAAAGTAACAGCTATTTTGGAACTAGTTTGTTGTTTGTTTTTTTTTTTTGAACATCAACATCTTTTCCAACCACTTTAGGCTAATTTCTGAAGAGCTTTCTCTATGAAAGCAGATACCACAACCACTGGCTTTGGGTTGCATTTGAATCTCACAGTTCATCCCAGATTTACTAAAATACTAAGTGAAGTCCACTTTTGTGAATCCATTCTTGGTTTTAAAACGCTACCACATGTGCTCCATTACCACCCAGAGACCCAGTTGTAGTCAGAATCCTACTTATTAGGCAGATGATCCCTTGAACTCCAGCTGTTGAAAATAAATAGGCTTCTTTGCTCAAATAGGCTTAATGGAACTATTTGTGGGCTGTAGTTATGTGCACGTACATTTTCCATGGAAATGCTCAGTCTGGCTCTACATACTGTCCACCAGGACACTTCTGGGAAGTATCAGGCTTACGGCACGAGTGCTGACCAGCTGCAGGGCACACTCACACGGAAGGGCCGAAGCTCCCATGAAGCCTCGCTCATGCGGCGTGAGAGATCACGTGGGTGTCCAGGAAACCCCTGGCAGAAGTGTGGCAATCCAGTTCTCAGAACTGGTTTTGAAGCCATCCAACTAGTTGGCACTTTGCCCTAAAGTAATGTTGAGACAGCAGGCTTTGTTTTTATTTTGACGATATCTTATACATGTAAATGTTAAAAATGTTTGTAATATTGCTGTAGTATATATACACTCTGTTCATGAAGCAGTGAGTGTGGAAAAAGGACAACAGCAGTGCCTAAAGCTCACATGACATTTCACAGTCTAAGCAAATTGCATAAATCCGGCATCTCCTCTCTGAAGACAGTAATTACCACATTTTAAAAATGGCAAAATACAGATGCAGAGCGTACTGCCCAGAGCTGTCAGGGAATCCAGAATTTTTACTTTATGGTCTCATATTCTAATGCCCAGACAATGGGGACCCTTAATTGAGTTAATGAAAACATTTCCAGTCATATCAATACAAAACTTATATATAAAAAAAGATGGGGTCTAAACTAAATTAACACCTTAAATTCTTTTGTCCATGCTGATGCTTGTAGACTAATTTTGAGTTAAGGAAGAAACATGATTGCTAAATCCAAATCTAAACACATATTCCACCTTTTCCCATAGTGCAGGAAAGTAAAATCCATTAATTTTATGTTGATGTTACTTAGCTGGTTTTAACACTGGTTATGCAAAAGGCGGATTTCTTCCTCTGTTTCAAGATACAAGGCAATGCAAAGCTCATACTGTGTGGAAAACTACTACTGATCCTTTCAACCCTTTAAGTTTCAAAGGAGCTGATTCAGAGTGGATTCACAAACAGCACCCAAACCTTCCCCTCTGCCCCTTCTCACAGCTGGCAGGCTTCGTGAGCCATGATCTTTTCCTGACATCCACATGACTTGCTACAGATGAAAGACAAAATTGTTTAGTAATAGCTTTTAAAAAAGGCAAAAAGTACTAGACATGCCTGAATTGTCATCATCATTAATCTC